TTTGTAAAGAAATGTTCTTAAAATTACCAAAAAAGGCAATTTTTAAGAACTGATGGTTTTACGGGAAAGAGTTTTTTACTTTTTATAATATTATTTTTATATAATATTTTTATTAATATATATAATTAATATATATAATAATAATTTCAAATAATTATATATTTAAAAAATATTAAAAATAAAAAATATACAATATGTAATAAAACTTTTTGAAATTAATTAATTATTTTTTATTTAAAAACTGTTATCTAAAAATTAATAAATAATATATAAAAATAAAGCTTAAAATCTAGAAATTATAATAATATAAATTTTATATAAAAATCCTTTTAAAATTGAATTTTTTGAATATTAAAAATTAGGTACAAATAAAAATTTTATAAATTTTAATTTAATAAATTTAAAAAATTTTCTAATTTAATATATAAATTTTTTTATAATATTAAAAATAAAATATATAATTTTATAACTTTATAAATTTAAATACAATAAACTTAAAATTAATTAATAATAAATATAATATTATTTCTTTTTAATAAAATAAGTTTTTTTATAGTTTAATTTACAATTAATCAAGATATTAAAATTTTTCAAAAAAAATTTAAAAACTTTTGTTATACACTGTATAATAGTATTTATTTATTTATTTTATATAAAATTTTTTAAACATTAAAAATATAAATATAAATTTTTTTTATTAATTATCTTTTCAAGTTGTATATTACTTTAAATAATAAAAATTTAATATTTTTTTCAAATGGTTTTATTTTATACTATATACAATATATTGTTATAAAAGAATTAATTATAATGCAAAGGATAAATGAAAATAAATCAGTTTTATATGTTTTAAATATTTTGAATATTTTGAAATAAATCAAAACTATATTTAAATCTATAAAAAAATAAATTGCTAATATTACAATCCATCTTAATAAAATCTACATTAAATCCAAATATTTCATCTCTTTTGAAATTACCACATAACTTGTGTGTAATCACTAATAGCAATATATTATATTAATTAATTAATTAATTTATTTATTATTATATAAGTGGGATAAACATAAGGTATAAATTTGATTTAAATATAGATAAAATATAATATACAGTGTATATTGTTATAATTTATTAATAATTAAAATTTGTTGAATGTATAATTTTTTATTTACATTATTATATTATTAAAATTTTATATTTTAACTTAATTTAAATTGGCTTAGTGCTTTTATTAGTAATAAAAGTCGGGTGATATAATATTTTCAAAACCCGCTTGACTTTTATTAAAAGATTACGTTTTTTAAAAGATCATTAGGTAATCTATGACGTATATAATGTGTCAAATTTAATTTAAAGAAACTTGTATGTTACGCATTTGCCGAATATTATTACTCTTGAAACAAAAAAATGGTGCGCGGAAACTCTCTAATTGACGACTTGAGGCTTCTTATTAATAATCCTCGATATAGTGATTTAGAAATCAGGTGCAAGGATGATCTTGTCCTTTATGGCAACCGTGTAATTCTTGCTGCTCGTTCCGAAGTGTTTGAGAGGATTCTTTTTACAGGGACAAGGGCTTCTGACAAACAAGTTTCGTTTCCAAAAATAGAAGCATCATCTATGAAAGTTATTCTTGAATATTTGTATACAGGAACAGTTCTGGAGAAGGGCATTACTATTGAAGATGCTCTCAAAACCTTGCCTGCAGCTGATTTCTTTCAATTAGAAAACCTTCAAGACCTTATTTCAGAATACAATAAGAAAATGTGTGAGAAAGAAGAAAATAGAAATCGATTACCCGAATTATTATCTAACGCAGTTCAGTTGATGTCACCTTTAGCTGAAAATGGTGTCGTTGATTATTTAGTAGATTCAGTGGCTAAAATTCCTTTGGATTCCATTGGATTTAATAGACTGTCACTTCAAGGTTTACAATGCTTGTTATCAAAGAGAAACGAAGAGAAAACATTTAATTCTAGCGAATATTCTGTTTTACGATATGCAATTTTATCAGCTGCAAACAAAGTATCTCAAGAAGCATTTTCTATTCTGGAAAAAAGGTTGCCTCCGTGGAATGAAATCAAGGAATCAGCTCTTCAAGATATTGATAATAATAATTCAATAGAAAAAACACTTGGCGCATCGATTGGCGATATTATAAATCCTGTTATAGAGCATATTGATTTTAGAAGGATCAAAGGAATAATCCTTGCGAAAATAATTGAACCGTTAGATATTATTCCGTATAATAAAATCATGGATTCGTATCGATTTCAAGTCTGTAAAGAAAATCCATTATCAGAATATTATGGTTATTTTCGAATTTCTGATATTAGATGGGATAGAAATGGTTGCGGTCTAGGTCTAAATATTAGTGAATATGGTCGTACGGTTAACGCGCCTCAAAATATAACCCAGCATCAAAGTGTAAGAACAAATTATCTCATGAGTAGTGGAGCTCATGAATTTCGTATCTTAATCGAAAAAAATTGTGCCTATGCTTTTGTGGGCATTTGTGGTGAAGGCCTGAATTTTTCTACTTTTGCTGGATATCAACCATACGGATGGGTTTTAAGTTCGTCCGGGGACTGCGTTCATGATAATGATAATGGAATCCATATAACTCCAACCTTCCAACAGGATAACGTGAAAATAATTGTGCACCTAAACATGGATGACAAGACAGTTGCCTTTTCAGTTAACGATACAAGATATCCCCCAGTTGCATCATGGAACAATCTCCCACGAAACCTTTATTTTGTTGCGTCGCTTAGATATCCAGGAAAGTTTAAAATTTTACCACCAGAAGTTTAAAGCTGATATACATAAATAGAATGGATACTTGCTATTTGAACAGTACGCTCTGTAATTTTGCAACTTAAATGACTTTCAATTATTTTATGAATTAATATTAGGGTTTGCAATCATTAATAAACAAATAATTACCGCACTGTTTCTTTATGACATAAACTAGATCAAGTTAGTTTGCGTAGTTCACGCATAACAATCGCTTAAAATTGGATAAACAAACATTTGAGAATTTATTATAGTTCACTTATAATCTTTGATTAATGGTATAAAAATAGTCAAATTTACAATTTTGTAAATAATTGAAAATTAATTTATCCATATATAAAATAAAACTATTTTAAAAAAATTATTATTATACAATAATATTGTGTGAAAATAAGATATAAATCAAGAAACACTTTTAAAATAATTTATTTTATTATTTTGTAAGATGAATTTATTAAATAAGAATAATATGATTAGAAATATTTTTTATAAGTTTTTTATTCAAATAATTTATAATTTATAAACTATTTTTAGTTGTAATAAATAGAAATACAATATACTGTATATATTATTCAAGAATAATTCTTTAAAAAAAAATCAATTTAAATCAATAATTTTAAATAAATAAACTTTATTATTTGATTAATTATAGAAACATATAAATTTTATACTCTCTGAACCACGGTTTACTTTTACGCTTTTTTTTTGTTAATATTTAACCAATAATTACAATTTGTTACAAAAGTCTTTAAACTTTTTGAATTTTATTTTAACCTATAATTTTATAAAATAATTAATAAAACAAAACAATATTTATATATTTAAAATTACATCTTATATAATAAAATTATTAATAAAATTAAATTTAAAAACAAGAAGCTTATTAAAAATAAAAGTTTATTTTTTATTAACAATACAAAAATAATTATAAATTATTAAATTATTTGAATAAATAAATTCATTATAAAAATAATAATTGCATTTAAAAATAAATTAGATACAAATTTTTAGTATTAAATAAAATTTTATTACAAAAAATATTAGTTATAATAATTAGAAGAATAGTCTAATTTATATTAAAAAATTATAAATTTTTATTAGAAATTTTATTTCAATGCAACAATAATCTTTAAAATTCTTCTATTTTTAAGTTTACGACATATATGAAATATATAAAAAAAATAAAAATACAAAAGTATTTATATTAAAGAAAATTATCATTAAAAAAATGGTTAAAGAATCAATATAGTTTTTAATTATTTTAATTATTAAATTATTTTGTATATTTAAATTAATTTATTTATTTTGCTCATTTTTTTTATTTTAATATTATTTTAATTATTTCGATGAACATCAACCAAATAAAAATAAAAATATCATTTTATATTTAAACTTTATTTAAAATTTACTTGAAGCATTTGAATATATAATAAATTTTCGATTGTGATTTAGAATTTAACATAAATAAAAAAACCATCGCGATATTATGGATCACATGATAATTCGACTTAATTTTTGCAATTTCGTGAAATAGAAATTTAGAATAGTTATTAAAAAAAAATTATTATTATTATTTGTATTATTTAAAAAGCATTCCGGTACTGATAATTATTAATGATTATAAAAAACAAGAATATTGTTTAGATATTTGATATTTGCTAAAATTATGATTTCGTTGCCTCAATATTAATGCTTAAATTCTATTCAAGTTAATTTGATATTAAAAAATAAGATTGGTACAGAATTGTTCGAATTTTTTCTTATAAAATATGGTTTCGAAAAATTGCTTGAGAATTTAAAACCTGATTTCATAGGGAATCAACATTTTTTGTAAATTTTACTGAGTCGATGGAAACGAAAAAAAAAAAAACCATAAAACAAATAAAACAAATAATTTTTTATTTCAAAAAAGATTTATGCTTCACGAATTCGTGTATTTCATATGAAATAATTGCATAATTATTTCCTGTCATTAATTCTTCGTTATACAGTAAATTTACAGTAAATTGAAAAAATCAATATTTTTTAAAAAATATTTTTTTTATTTTTTGCATTTCATATAATTTTATCAATTAAATAAAATAATAAGCAAAAGACACAAGTCCAAACTATTCCGATTTTTTTTGCTCGATGTTGTACGCAATTGATTATCACCATATACGAGGAGATTTCTGTATGTACAATATGCGAAGTACTGTAGAAGTAGGTTAAAATTGAAATTAACATTAAAATTAAAAAAGATTGTTGGTTATGTCAGCGTCATCCTAACCGTCGGATAAAAAATGATTAGCGAAACTATTGTTTGGTTGAACTATGCCACCTTGTTTTCATGCCTCTTATGCAGGAAGGAAGAGAAACATGGATAATTGAATTGATCAATCTCTTTTGCGTTGAATTATCTGCAAAAAGGATTATTAATATTTTTCATCTTTCATCTCATTCATATGGAGAATATATAAGTATGTGATGTAACCGGAAGAGAAGTCGTGATTTCGCAAATTTTTTATATACGTATCTTGCATAACTATTGTTGATATCGATCTTGCTTCTTTGAGAAGGAGGGCTTTCCAAAGAAGGTACAGTGTACTTTCGTTAACACCACATCGGGTAAATTGAGATGTGGGTTAAATCACATGACCAGGTGTCACAGTATTTACCGAGAATTGAACTCATTGTACATCCAGAAAGGATTTTCATTTTGAATGGATAATAATTTATTTCTAACACTTGAGACTCCTTAAGATGCAAATTAATACCTGCGGTCAAATAAGGAAATACTTTGTTGGTTTCCAACGGTCTGCCTTCATTTGGAATATGCAGGCACTTTATTAAATTCATGCAAACAGTAATTATCTCTTAAATAATGTACAATGAATTTTTTTTACAACGATCACACACACTGTATGTCTACGAGAACCGGCATGAGGAAACAATTTTCCATCATTCGGAAAAGGAAACAATCCGTTCGCGTCGTGACGCATCCATTTCAATTAAAAAAAAGAATTTTGCCATTTAAAATAGTTCGATAATTATGAACTTGATTTGAAACATTGCACATGCACTTTTTCCACAGAGAATGAGAGTCGTACACAAACTTGTAAACTCCCGCCGCGTTCCTTGGAATGTGTGATAATATGAAATGACTTGAATACTGTACTCTGATTCGTAAAGGTTGAAAACTTTAAATTGTGAACTACTGTAATGGTTTATTATTTTATTGCATCAGGTGTGTCGTACTTTCATTTTCATTTTTTTTTTTAAAAAAAAAAAAAGCAATAGAGAAGATGCTATTTGTTTATGGTTTTAAGGCTTTAATACTTGCACTTGTACTTGCGGGTTCAGAAAGAAATCTCATGTATGACAACAGGTAGATCTTAATGTACTAATGTGCATAATTATGAACTACACGTTTTGGATATCGAAGATCTGATTTTTAATAAGCGAAAAATCATTATAAATACCCTTCTTCCTTTACTTTGGTCACCATCCTCGAACTCTTGAGCTGCGCTCTAACCAACTTTTTTATTCCCTTCTGATCTTGAGCTAGTCTCATTTTTACCTTCCAAATATCTTATCCTCCACTCTTTGAAGGCGTATAATCTTTTTTTAAAAAAAATGAAACTTTCCATTCTTTCAGTTACCCTTGCCCTTTTCGCGGTTGCAGGCGCGATTCCAATGAACATGGAGAAGAGGCGTTTTGGTCAAGAGCATACACCTCGTGCTGATGCTGACTTTCAAGCTATGAAAGATATCTCAAATGGTACTGGATTTGAAGCACAACTTGGTGACTTATCAGGCGCCGCGGTAAGAGCTCTATTGGCTAAAGCTGGCGCTTGCGATCAACAAGATGTTGCGGATCAATGTGTCGACATTGCGCATCAAATCGGTAAGTAGTTACAGTATTCAGGTTTTTGATGTCTAAATAGCCATATTTAACTTTCTATTTTCGATATTTATAGGTCAAAAGTTTGCTAGTTCCTTTGGTCCACAAAAAGAAGCTGATCTCATCAAAGTTTGCCAAGATTATAGAACTCTCGAGCGCAACACTCCAAATGTCGGTCAGCCCTCTGACCTTTGTAACAGGTAGCAATTTGTGTAAAAAAAATTATTTTGGAATTCTGAATGTACTCCTTACACTTCATTTTTATATGTCGCAGGCCACCGAAAAACAAAGAACTTGATGGTTTAGTCCAAGCTCAGGATCCGGGTACTGCCGCTAATGGAGCTACTCCAACTACCGCAGATACCCCAACTACTACTACTAACGACCCTGCCACAACCACTACCAACGACCCTGCCGTCGACCCTGCCACAACCACTACCAGTGACCCTGCCGTCGACCCTGCCACAACCACTACCAAAGCCAAGAAAGGAAAAAAGAAGGCTAAAAAAACCACCGAACCTTGTAAAGGTGTTACTGTCACTATGACCACAACCGCCACCGCCGACGCCGCCGCCACCACCACCCCTGCAGACTCCGCCACCACAACCACCCCTGCAGACTCCGCCGCCACCACCACCCCTGCAGACCCCTCAAATGCCGGAGTCAACAATGTTGCCTTCACTAATCCCGTTGGTGGTGCTCAAATGCCATTGATCACAAAGTTAGATCCCAGTACTGGAGCCAATTTTGAGGTTAACGGAAGCAAATTCCAAAATATCGGTGCTGCTCATAATCGCCAATGTGACGTTCAAGTAAGTTGGATAATTAAATCGTTTGCTTTAATTGTGCTCTCTTATTTTATTCGAAATCTAACCTTCCTTTTAACATAATTTTATAACAACAGCATAATCTCTGTTTCAACAAATTTAACAGTGGAGATCATAGTTTCCAGGGTTCGGATTGTGACAAACAGAATGATGCCTGTAAAGCCGGTGATCCAGTCTTTTCCAATTAAGAACTTATAAATAACGGAAGGAAATTCTTCGTCTCTTTTAGCAAAAAAAAAACTGTATCTTAAATTTACATAGATGATTATTATTCTTTTATATATCACTTTTTTTTGTTTTTACCACGAAGGGATGTACGATAATTTTGCAATGCACTATACATAGATCTAAAGACTCGTTTGAATAAAACTAATGAAATAATTTTTCAACTAATTCTAAATGTTTATGGAGTTTGATACGTGAATTATTGGTTTGCCACAAGTTTGTCCATAAAAATTTACGACAAATTTCTTTAAACGATAATGTTATGCTAAGCTCAGAAGATTTAAATAACACATCATTAATAGGTAGCCCTTTTTAAAATAGTTGTTAAGTCTCGTTGGAACCTGTCAGAATGAATTAACTTTGAATAAAAAGAAACAGTTGGGCTTCTTTTATTTTGTAAAGAGAGAACAAAACGGTGACCACATAAAAAAAATTTTGATGCGGTCACATAATGCCATTAATATTCCCTCATTCTCGCATCTTAAGGTGTTTAAAGTATCAAAGTACAGTACTTATCAATAAGGTTTTTGTCTGCCCCATTTTCACTCTCGACAAAATAACCACCACATTTAGTCATGATTGCGAAATGTGATCGGATCGTTATACAAAGGCAATCTACTGTATTTTGTTAGGTTATTGAAGGTTAATGTTAATAAAATGTTTCGATTATTTACTATACTAACTAAAACAGTAATTATACATGTGGTATGTTGTAAATTCCTTATTATTCTGACAGAACAATTGTATTTACGTATATGTTCCTTTATAATTTATACAATGTATTTTATTTCATATAAAATATATGGAAATTTTCTAAAAAAAGGGGATAGTTTTTTGTTGTGCGTGCGTGCGTGTAAACTGCATATATTTTTAAAGATTTTTTAAACGTTAATAAGATCACGCAATACAAATCTCACAAATATATAAGTAAAAATCGCATTGAAAAAATTCTTAAACTTATTATCGTCTTTTAAAATAAAAAATTTTTATCATATAATTCTAAAATCATTCCAGCTAATAATTAACAAAATTTTTATCAAAATTATTTTTAAAAAAAATTGCACATCGCATGATTAACCAATACACTAAAAAAAAAAAATTGTTGATATTCTATAAATATACAATATTAGTAAAAAAAACCAACTATTATTTTTAATATTATAATTGATTAAAAAATATTTATTAATTATTATATAATAACATATGCAATATATTTATTTATTTAAAATTTTATAGAATTTTATCAAAAATTTGATTTTTTTTTTCAGTCACAAATAGATATCAAATATGATATATTTATTAAACAAATTATTATCAGTCCATTACATTAACAATTTTTATATAAATTGTAAATTAATTGTAATCTATTGCAACTTTATAAATAATATATATTGCTATCTATATGGTAAAAATAATAAATAAATAGTCAATATCCATTTAAAATAATAATAGAACTGCTGGATTAAAAAATTTTTTATCAATAAGATTATTGTAATTATTTAGAATAATTAAAATCTTTTTAGAAATATTTGTTTCTGAATTATTGAAAATTATAAGAACTAACGACTTTGATTTTTTTTATTTAATATCTATTAATAATAATGAAATAATAGTTGTGAATATTTTTTTCAAATTTTGTAAAAATTTTTTAAAAAATGATTTAATAATATTTTTTTTTTTGAAAATATTAAATAATATATAAAACTTGCTTATAATTAAATTAAAAAGTATTTTGTTTATCAAATTTGTTATAAAAATTTGTTTTGTATATTAAATATTTTTTTATTTTTTTATTATTAATTGGTCAAGTTTGTTTGTTTTTAAAATTAAATAACTTTACTTTGTAAACAAATAAATATATAATATTATTTTTTAGATAAATATCACATCAAATTGTTTTTATAAAAATCTAAATATTTTTATATAACTTGATTTTAATTAAAAATTAATTTATAATAATTTTGATTTTAAAAATAAATAATAATTTATCGCTATATATTCAATCCGGAATTAAAACACACTATGAGAAATTGCGTTGTGTAACGTTATTAAATGTATATGTTGTACTGTAATACGCATTGAGAAAGAAAATTTACTGTATTTTTTATTGAGTACTCTAAAAAATTTTAAATTATTTTTTAATGGCTAATTTATGTAGCTGACTGTCTATAATATATAAATTAAATGGCGTTGATTAATACAAGAAAAGAGGAAAAGAAGAAAGAAAAGAAAATATGAATACGTATTACTTACCATTGCTGGTGGATTTTAGGTAATGGATAAATTCACTTTTATAAATTGTGTTCATGGGTGTTTGTAGACGTATATTTTCCATACTCTTCAATATTTTATCAGAATCGGTAAAGTCATTTAAAAATTTTGCGTCATTTTGCCATTCTGTAAAAATTTCGAAAATGTCTTCAGCAGGTGGTCGGTTTTTTGGATTACCATCCCAACATCTTTTTATAAGATTTATATAACATTGTGGTGTGCCCTCAAGGATAGTTGGTCGTAAGCCATCACATATTTGAATTTGAAGTTGATCGCTAGATTTGTAGTTAAAATTAACAGCCTGAGGAAATTTCCCACATAATTATGCCAAATGAGTAAATATCTGATTCCAGGGTATATTGATTGCCATAAAAAACTTCAGGTGCTATGTATGGTAAAATTCCACAAACTCCTTTAGATTCTGTACTGGTTGACATTGAAAGGCCTAAATCTGCTATATATGCACTATATAAATTGTCTAGTAATATTTTACCACTATGTAAATCTCGGTGAATAATATTTTGAGAATGAATAATTCGAAGATCAAAAGCCAACTTGTCTGTCCATTTAGTTTGCCCGATTGAAAAAAGGTTATCACACAAAGAACCCATTGGTGCATATTTTGTAACAAGAATATAATCATTAGAAATTTTGTCTCTAGATATTCCATAACATTTCAAAAATGTAGGGTTTTTATAACCAATATCGCAATAGGCTTTTAACTTAAATGAAATAATAGAGTAAGGAAAAATTTAAATTAATATTTTAATCAATATTTCAAATAAAATTACCTCCTTTATAAACTCCTTATTACGATGTCTTGATCCATGAAGTAACTTAAGCGCAACACTTCTAGTATTCCACATGGCATAGAATACTGTTGCAAATCCACCTTTTCCTATCTCAACAATGTTCTTTAATTTCTTATAAGGAACCCAAAGTAACGGATATTTGCTTTCGGAAAGCATTTTCCTAAGTTCAATGTCGGCGTCAATGCTTTTAAGCAATGATTTATTTAAAACTAATAAACTATATTAGATTCTGAATAAATTACATTGATTAAATATAAATTGTACTATAATTACCTAATAATTGATTTCTTTCCCTAATTTTTTTGCTTATTGTTAATTTATGGCAATAAATTATAAATTAAAAATAAATTACATACTTTTGATACCAATACATAGCCGTTTGTAAGTTTCTTTCAACGACCGTTCCATTTCTATAATATTCGGCAGTCGCGAACATTCCACTTATATTACCCATCTCGGCAGATTTTTGATAATATTTAAATTCCTTATATTCATCCCTTTTAACTCCAATTCCTTCATCGTAACAATAGCCAACATTATATGTTCCCGATATATTACCCATCTCCGATGATCTTTGATAATATTCAAATGCCTTACACTCATCATTTTCAACTCCAATTCCATGGCGATAACAATAACCAACTTGAAATACGCCATTAGAATCCTCCATATCGGCAGATTTTTGATAATATTCAAATGCCTTATATTCATCTTTTTCAACTCCAATTCCTTCATCATAACAATATCCAACATTATATGTTCCCAATATATTACCCATCTCGGATGATTTTTTATAATATTCAAATGCCTTATATTCATCCCTTTTAACTCCAATTCCTTCATCATAACAATATCCAACATTATATGTTCCTGATGCATCACCCATCTCGGCTGATTTTTGATAATATTTAAATGCCTCATGTTCATCCCTCTTAACTCCAATTCCTTCATCATAGCAATAGCCAACATTATATGTTCCCGATATATTACCCATCTCCGATGATCTTTGATAATATTTAAATGCCTTATATTCATCCTTTTCAACCCCAATTCCATGGTGATAACAATATCCAACTTGAAATATGCCATCAGAATCCTCCATCTCGGCTGATCTTTGATAATATTCAAATGCTTTGTGTTCATCCTTTTCAACTCTAATTCCATGGCGATAACAATAGCCAACATTGTATGTTCCAGATGAATCACCCATCTCGGCTGATTTTTGATAATATTCGAATGCCCTATAACTATAACCAAAATAATATGTTTCCGATGCATTACCCATCTCTGTTAACTTTTGATAATATTGGGATGCTTTATACTGCATTTGTGATTAAGTTCTTAAGTGCAATTATTTATTACAATCTTTAATTTCAGTCAATATTTGAAACATGCGTATAAGCGTACTCGAAAATGATATGGCTCAAATAATGCATAGATCTGCAAATAATGGTGTGACTCTACGGAGACGAGCAGAGATTTTTTTTTTCAAAATAAAGACAATTCTCCATACATATTTGTATAGTATACATACAGTCACATTTTTGTTTCGAGTGAAATTTCCGAATCACGAAATTCCCGAATACGGTCAACTCTCGATAAAAGAAACTGTGTACAGAGAACCCTCCCTAAATGCACCCCCTTGGGACCTAAGAGCAAGTGTGCATTTAGAGAAGGTGTGCATTTAAAGAAAAAAAAATTTTTTTATTAATTCCGATTAATTTTGCCCGGCATTTTATTAATTCTGGTCAGTTATTTTAATTTTGCCCGGTTTTATATTAATTCCGGTCAGTTATCTTAATTTTGCCCGGTT